TGTATCGTATTGTCAACAGTCAAAATACGATGAGTCAGTATGGACAATGAGGTGACTACCAGGTAAAATCTTTTAGATTAGGCTGTCACACCATGACATACCTACGAGTTTAGGATTAAGTCCATTAGTAAGGCGGCATCGATGCCGAACTAGACATTAGTTCTACAGATTCTCCGCAATTATTGCGAACTCCAAATACATTGTGCTAGTTTGCCATCATCAAATTACATTTGACTTAAACTGAACTGCTACGAGAATACTAATTAAACATGCAGACTAGAACATCTTTAATCATACTACGTCTTGTGTATTTCAAATGCACTGCTAAATGCTTAAGAATACGTTTCTGTACTATGGGTTTTACACGAATTTAATGGAAAACTATGTGAATATGGTTAAACCATAGAATACGTCGATTTAACATATGACATCACGCAGACTTGCATTTTTACAAAAAAGGCACATTGACCCTCGAAAATGCACCGAACACTAATTCTGCGTAGATATACACAATGTCTTCAGACCCAAGAACTTCAAAATTCATGAAAAATAAAATCGGTCAAAATTTATGAGAACTCAATTCATTCTGGATGGTCGTCAGTGTTGATTTTATGTTTTGTTCATTTTTATTAAAGTCTATGCACCGTTCTCGCACTGATGACGAAACGTTTCAACACTTTTATTCAACGTTGCCACGGAACTGATTAAACAATTAGAAGGACACAAAATCCATAACAAGCGTTATCTTTATAAAGGTTTGTCTACAATGTCACTGAAGAAAACTCTCGGCCACATTCATAAAACATACGAATATACAGCTTTTTGGGTGAATAATACTTATACATGTTGCCTGTTATGGAGGAGAATAGGCGGCACACCAGTGTTCGCTATCCAGCACTACCTGGCAACTCTTTCCAATAGTTTTCAGTTGCCGTTCATCCTTTTCATGTCTGGCTCCAATTCGCGATGTAGTGTATTTTTTCAGACTTCATGTCTTCCGCTCTTTTTCAGGATTCCGTGTTAGTGCTTCTCTAGTGATTCAATTTCGTGAATTGCGTAATGTATATCATATCCACTCTCAACGTCTTTCCCTAGTTTCCTTCTCAAAAAGAAGCTGGTTCGTTCCCCTCCACAGTGGGCCGTTGCTGATGATATCCGGTCAACAGAGTAAATTTCGCAGACAATTATTTATAAATACTTGTATATTTTTGATGATTGTTGTGGTAGTTCTCGAATGTTCAGCTCCGCATTGTAGAACTGTCTTAAAATTCGTATTGACTATTCTGAATTCGATATTGGTTACCAGTTATTTTGAGTTCCATGTGATCTTCAACTGTACGAATGCGGCCGTATCAGAACCTCCTTGTTCATCGATGATGACGCTGGCCAGGTAAAAGAAGGTTTTCACCTCTTCCGGAGCTTCTTCATTAAATTTGACTGAGTTAGTGTTGTCCGCGTTGTATTTGAGGATGTTGCTTCTCCCCTTGTGTATGTGGATGCCAACTGATGCAGAGACTGTTGCTAAAATGATTGTCTTGACCTGCATTTGTTGATATGCATGGGTTACAAGATCCAGGCCATATGCGATTCCTAGATTGTCTAGTTACATTCAATCTGTCCATTTTATTACGTGTTTCTCTTAAGATGTGGGGGTGTTCATATACCAGTTAACCACCAGAAGAAAGAAAATGGGGAGAGGGTAAGCAAACTTGTTTGACTCCAGTCCACACGTAGTGACATCGGACCGCAGCCAAACGAGCTTTGAAGCCGAGCATATAATTACTGAATAGGTTGATATTCAACGATGGACATGAACAGAAGTTTAACTCAACCAGATGGCATGGCACAGTCTTGCAAACGTGGTCATTATGTATACCTTGCCCTTACTTTGAATATATTATTCTATCATCAGCCTAAATGTGTTCTTTAAAAATCCAGACATCATTTTGTTAATTGGTACGACACGATGAGTCGGTGTTTTAACTATAAATAAGCCCCAAAAAGAAATAGCTCTGTATGTTTTCGACATTGGATGCTGACCACATTAGTTTTAATGGGCTCAACTAGTTGAAGGCACTTGGTCATGCATTCGCACCAGATCCCGAGTGGGAACGCCGTGCTCAGCATCCCTTGCAATCACTAGCCAGATTATATCAGTCGATTCACGATAAATTGATAGCCTATCAAATAAATCTTCGAAACTTCTCGCTTCTGACTTTTGATTTCACTTGGTGCGTACGATCCACAGTAAGAGGTGTTACTGGTTAAAGTGTTTTCGAACTCCAAATACCTGTGGCATCTTCAGTTTAAACAATCATGTGACTGCCATGTAAGATCTATTAGATTAGGCAGTCACATCATGACATATTTGGGGTTTTAGGATTAGGTCAATTATTAATATTATGCTGATAAAGAAGAATACCATAATTTTACACTCACTAGGGGTGCGCATGTCAGCTGACTTCTATGCATTATTTGCAGTGTAGTGCGTACTATTTATTCCGGATGGTATTAACGATTTTCTCCGGTACACCATAGTGCCGAAAACGTTTCTACAATATTCTGTACACACAGTCCAATGCTTCCTCATAATCAAGGAATATGATGTAAAGTTACAAATTCCATTCAATTGAATGCTCAACGAAGATCCGTAGTGTAGCCAATTGGTCTGTACACAATCGACCCTTACAGAATCCAGCTTGTTGATTTGGGAGTACACCACGCCATATAAGAAAGGCGAAGCTTTCACCACGGACGATTTTACCGTTCTCCAAGAGCTATTTACACTTTTACATATAGCCGAACCCTTACTTTTGAACTACATATATCCATCAAAAAAATGGTGAGCGATTCTTACTTTTATGCGCTAAAAATAATATTCTGTCCTCGTATAATTTTTTAGTGCAAAGCATGACATTTTGAAAGTTCATTCGAACGCTAATGTTTTAACATTCAGTTGCACGTTTTATTTTAAGGATACATTTTAAATTTGTACATTTCATTTAGCAACGGTGCGGATTGTATAGTGGTGTGAGTTTTCTCACTTGTAACTTCTAAGAATAGTGTCAACTTGAACCTTTCTAAATGTCTGTGATTATCAATGCCTTAGTCAATTATATGCATTGTTATTGTATCATAAAAACACTCGTTCTCAATGATAGTGGACATAACAAGAGAGTATGAACTCTGTTATACTATTCGGTTACTGAAGATATAACTTTAAACTGACCAAATGTGTTTCAGATGTGATGAATCAAATATTCGGATACTCAACAGCAAAAAACATGGTTTACAAAGTCTTGCAAGCTTTTTCTTTATGGATTTTTAAAGTGGATGTTAATTAAATACAACGAAATTATATTGAATCACTTACTAACCTTATTGTTAGTTCCCTGTTTACACCTTTTCAGCATATATACATGCGAAAGTCCTATTGATCCTACTTGAAATGTTTAAGTATTCTTTCAGGAAATAGTAAAGTTCACAGCGTTATCCAGCCCGAATAACATATGCAGTTTTCTATGTTCTATAAATAAGTGATGATGTACTTTAACCCAAACAAGTTTGTTAAAGTTGTAACGCTTAGACATCACGACACTGATTGAAGGATTATGTATCTTCAAATCATACGTTCTTATAAATACATATAGAACTCAGGTAGATACAAATCTCATTGAAACGTTCAAATCGAAAAGCAGTTAGAGTATTTATTTGTTGCAGTGCCTCTGATATGTATGGTCGTAATCACAAAGTTGACCTCGTTGTAAGCCCTACTTATAACTCATCGTATAACCCCTAACTAGAAATAAACAGAAATTTATCATCTATTTTGTGTTACCACTTATTATGACTCTTGGAAATCTGGAACACTAGTCTAAAAGGTCATGTTGGTAATTGACAGTTATTTCAAAGTGTATTGAGATTCCCTAATCTAAAAATTTCTATGATTATTGGTTCATTACTTTGAAGGAAGCTTATCACATTTACGAATAAGACATTGATATTTTTCGATTAAGCTAACATACAACCTGATTTCGTCCCTAGTTTGATTGTTTTCGCGCATCATATGAACAATATAATATCAACTGTAAGAATCAATTATTGGTTTTGGAAACTAACTACTAGTAGTATTTTACAGCCCCAACTATAACCCACTTTCCTAGAAATGTGGTTGTGTATGTGACTCTTAGTCGACTTCAATAATAAACTCAGTCTCGACTACGAACATAACTTTAGTTTTGTCCTATTATTTCATCACCAAAGTCACGTTTGATTCAGAATGATATGAATATTAACTTACAACATATAATGATCATTTAGGGTCAGCCTTCCTGCCTAAACTGTCTTTCACTGTTTTTATAAGGTGAACTACAACGATTAACCAAACTTAGCATCCTCCAGGCACATTTTTTTCTATTCTTTATATAAAATCTTTGTTTTTATATTAAATTTAATACAGCGACAAATACACGTTTCTTAACAATTTTTCAACTAGTTAAGTAGAATACGCACAATAAAACAGGATAGGAAACTTTATTTCTAATGCTTAATAATAATGCACAGAGCTCAGACGTGTATATACATTATGAGACTCATCTGACTATGAATTTTTTGATGATAACCATATCCAAGTATGTACTTCTTTTACTTACAAAGGCCATTTCACATGTACATTTACAACATACCTTGCTGTCATCAAATAACATATGATTAATTTATGCTTGCCATGTTTTTCAGCTGTACACTTTATTACCAATGGAATTCACTTTCAAAAGTCACCTTACCCAACCCCGACTCGTGTTAATGCGAGTAGACTTTACTCTCACTGTTCAAACCCAAAACAACTAGTGTTTAAACTCAGAGTTTTGTTGTTCGATATACGATTGCCTCTAATATATGAACGGTATCTGACTTGTCTAAAACGTTCAACTGAGTTAAATCCTCATTTTTAAGATTTTTGTTCGTGTTCTAGCCTAATCATTGACTATAACTGTTCTATTTCGGCCTCCATTCTACATTTTAAAGGGAGTTAATTTGTAACGATTTTTATTTGTTTACGAGTTTCTTAAGTAGGTTTTCTCTCCCTTTGGAAATTGAGTCAAGTGAGTCGCTTCAATTTAAAACAATAATTAAAAGATAATGCTGCGTCTTTTGACGTCAGATGTGTTATACCTTACATAGATCTTTACCAATACTCCAAAATTTCACTTGATGAGATAAGTTATTTGAATGGCCAAGACTTGATCAATTCAAAATTAGATAAAGGACCAATCATTTTGTGCACTACATGGATATATCTGTGTATAATCATTTGTACATCCAAACCCAGTTGAACTAAATTTAATTACAAGGGTGTCAGCTAGATTGATTTCGTATGCAAACGCTCTTCCATAAAATTAAAGTGTTCAGGTTTCAAAACTTGATAAATCTTACTTTCTGAATTAAATTCCTAATATTGAACAAGACGGATGTTTGATGTAAATCTCAGTTGTCTTTTTTAATCTATTCATTTCTTAACAGATGCATACAAATAAGAAAACTAATGCAAACATACCATCACGTATCATCGGTTCATTGCTTTGTTTACTGATCACCGTAAGCTTCATATTATTCGTGTTTTTTCATTTATGCTAAATTTATATTTCAGTTGTTTGGTGCAGCTTTAACCGCTTTTATAGGTCATATACTTATTGCTTTTGAATATATCAGTGAAATATTTGGAAGATATATATTATTTGGTGGAATTTATGTTATACTTACATGTGGTGTATTCACTGTATTGATTGGTCTGCTTGGGTTTTTCAGTTTCATACATCCAAATCGATGTACATCTATCACGGTAATTAATTTTATACTGATAAGAATAAAAATGTAACATTATTTTCTTTGTAGACTTGTGTTGGTTTAGTTATTCTCATTATTACTACTACTTGCACATCAGTGATTGTTTATATGTATCCTAAAACTGTAAGTTTAATTATAGTTTGAAACATCTGAATTGTACATAAATTTTATTTTTCATTCTATACCATTTGTGGGTTAAAAATTATTCCTACGTTTTAAAATTTTTATTTTAATGAAACTTTTATCTTGAGTAGTACGTGCAACTACATGTAAAAAAAAAGTTAATTTACTGAATGAAAAGTGGAAAACTTACATATAGAAGTCATTATATTATGTGATAATTTCCGGTTGAACTCAAAGACATCTAAATATTTATAATATAGTATTGAATGGACAAATTTATTAAACGGATACATGCAATTTAGGAAGAGCTACAAGTATATAAACACAAGTTTTAGTGAGAAAAAAAATTAGGGAGATGTGACCGTTTTGGGGTCATACCTTATATGTGAGGGTTGGTGATACTATCTATCTGTCTAAATCGAAGTAGGTAGAGCGGGACTTAAATCTGCTACCTAATATTCGAAAATCAAGCACTCAAATTATTAAACCATTACTCTATACCAACAAGTTTCCATGCTTCACATTAGCACGGTGGCATGAAAATGGACAAGCTAACATGGCAATAACAAAACTAATGAAAGTGGAAATCTCATGAATAAGAGGTTAACTTCAGGTGTAACGATCAAACGTTAAGAAAAAAGGAAAGTTGCTTGAGTTAACACTGAGATCATGATGTGAAGGAAGGCAAACAATTACTTCATCAGTGCTAATTTCACCACTTCTAGACAATATATCATCCTCTTCTGAACATATTTGGTATATGACTAGTAGTCTGATCAAGTGGACTATTGCTTCTCAAATTATATAAATACTTTTTTTCTGCCAGATTCTATTTTATACTCTCTTCTGTGGTCTATAACTCAGTGTTTATTGAATGTTATTCATAACTTGAAACAAAGCCTTCTGTGTTGTTTTACTAACACGTTCCACGAAATAAAACCGTCAGTAAAAATTTTGAAAGCGATTTTAGACTTTTCTGAAACTTTCCAGTCGTACTCGGTGCTGGGATATTCAGGAAAATATCCCAGAAATTATTCTATTAGGTCTAATGCTATTCTTGGACTTGGAGATTTTATGATTTTCTTATTGGTCGATACTTATTTCACGTGTCATTTTCCTACTGTTCAATATTGTACAATGTTATTTTTTATTTTATGGTACGTTGTGGTCTGCTTGACTGGTATATAAACAAAGTATGTTTGAAATATAATGATTCATATCTCCGAGGCTAAGACTTGTGTTCTGAACTCAACTGGCTGGGCTAGAAAGGGAGGCGGGACCAATCAGAACCCTAGGCGTCCTTGGTCCGATCGATAATTCGCTACCCTCTAAGCTGCCGTCACAGTTATAGCACTCGGTTTTTTCTAATCACGATAATGTAGAATATGTGTATTTGTAAACCAGTTTTCTCTAGCAGTCTGTTTTGAGTAACCGGATTCACAGGCCGAGTGACTCTCTCACACTCACTAATGATTAAGAAAACTAGTGAACAGAAAAAAAGTTGATACTAGCATTGATAAATACAGTCAAAAATTCATAGGTATATAATGTGTTTTCAACATTCAACCAGTAAGGATGTAATCTTTTAATCTCTTACCGATATTTTAAAATTTAAATATGATAATTAACAAAAAGGATTTTGGATCATATATATTTGTCATTATTCTAGACTGTTTCTGTTAGAAACATGTGGATCTGGATATTCACTTTGGAAATTAAAGAAATGAGTAAAGTATTTTATATATTCTTATCTTCATAAAATCTATCTGTTATAGTTAATAACATGCTCATCTTAAATGGTTATTGTTTATTAACAAAAATAACTTCACAATGTTCATGATCTTCTTCAGCATTGATTTAAAACTTTCTTATGAGTTTCTGTATACTTTACTAAACAGAATATACAGCGAGGAATTAATAGACATTTTGTGAATACATTATATGTCGTATAATGTTTTTCGAAATTCCTTAGTAAACGGATCATTTTCGAGACTCTGATAACTTTGAAACACATCTTAAAATGTATGTTGGAATAAGTATAAAGTATATCTGTTTCGTCCACATAATTGATTTTTTTTAAATCAACTGTCATTTACATTTTACTAACTTGCATCACTAACTACTTATAAGTAGTCTAGACATTTACCTATAATATTCATATCAACTTCGAAATTTCCGCTATCAAATAAACCGCTTATCATAAAAGACATTCTTTATCCCATAGTCAGTAGTGGAAACTGGTGTGTCTGAAAGAATCCAGCATCAATGCATACAAAAGAAGCACTTTGAAATACGACAACGAGTGAAAGTATCAGATGTGCAGCATCAACAGAAAAGAATACCTACGGTGGCTAATAACTAACAATAATAGGAAACTAGATTTAAATAGTTTTGCTAATCACTTTGAATAGATTATTCAGAGAGGATAACCACAATCTTACAGTTTCTCTTGTGCTTTGTTTATCAATCTTTTTTATACTATTCAGACTGGTTAACACAAAACAGAGTTCCATGAGTTCTAACTGTAAGCTGGATGAATCTCCATAATTTCAGTGGTGAAACAGGTATCACTGATACCCGTAGATGGTGGTTACATAACACACAAAAAAAATAATGAAGTTAGAAATTCAAGTGTTTATTCGATTGCCTGAAGTTAATGCACACTTTAATAGTCATGAAGGTTATAGTTTTGAACTTTTACAGCGTATTAGGTATACACTAATGTGAAGCTTCATACGAGCACGAAATAAAAGTTTCCTTGTCTTTACATTTTAATGGTTGTCCAAATAAAGCCAACTCGTGATGTAAGCTATCTTTGAATATGAATATTTTTAAGTATGATGGGCTGAAGTGAGATTTTATAGCATAGTTAATTTATACAGAAAATCATATCATTATTCGATTCCTTTGAGTGTCCAATTATCCTTTTCAGAATCTTATTTACACAACAATTCAAACTAGTGAATTTAGATGGTGGTTGGAGGTAGTCAACAGGAAACCCTGTTGACTACCTCCAACCACCATCTAAATCTTAATACATAGTGCCCGCAGTGTCGAGTCACCTAGACTGGTGGCCACATTGCAACATGATCGATAGCATTCGATCTGCACTAATAAGGACTAGACAAGCATGACATTGATCACCACCCAGTGATCAATCAATTGTGAACTAGTGAATTGTTTGCAATTGTTTAACAAATATCACATGTGAGGTAAATCAGTCTATACAAATTATTATTTTGACTAGTAGTGAGATTTTTTTGGCAGACATTTTATCCATCTAATTTTTTCCCTGATTCTGTACAGATGACAAATTTGATATATTACCGAATGATCAAAACATTTCCAAATTATGGCCAAAATATGCAAATAACTAATGCATGGGATATTATGCAAAGTAATCTTAGGTGTTGTGCTATACATAACCGAGGTTGGTCAGATTATAATCAAACTGTTTGGTACAAATTAACCAACGCTGATATACATCTTCATGACGAATTTATACCACGTGTGTATTTGTTTTGTTTTTTGAGTAAATTAACACTTTCTTTGTGTTTGAATTATTCATAATCATCTCTTGCTTAATTAATACACTTTAAACTACTGTATTTAATATCCAGAGGTTTGGTTTTTACTCATTGTGTAATTCATTAAGTCGTTGTAATTCAGTTCCGAACTGCTTGTCGCCGAACAATTGCAACTCGTGAGATTGTATAACAAGTGATATCACAAAATATGTATGCACAACAAAGGTGACCTTATTGTTCACGAAGCTGTGATAGTATCGTAATCCAACACCTAGCTTGTTAGTGCTAAGAATTATCTCAAAAAATTCAACCTTTTATATTTATTTTTCAACGAAATTAGCATTATAACAGAAAAATAACTGATTAATTTACTCTGCATTGAATCGTTTTGAGGATTTCGATAAAAAAATAAGAATATGTGATACTTGAGTTCTCAAATCAAAACACGGGATTTGTCTCGAAAGAAGTGGGATTTTAAGTAAAAAGGCAACATAAATAATAAGGTTTTACAAAATTAAAATAATGAGTTGTCTATGGAGCATTAACAACGCTTTAATATACAAGCAGTGAGAATGTGCTTTCTTCAAATCAGTTTATAGAAGCAATTATTAAAAGGACACAATAAATCAAGGTTGTACCAAGGAGTTGGGTCATATCAGTAATGGCAATTAACAAACTGAACTGAGAGTTATACAACAACAACTATGAGAAATTTCTTCAAATACATCAATTTCCAATGAAAAACATAAGAAATGAAGGCGAACTACTAATAATGGTGAGAGAATACAATTACAGTAATTAAAATGAAACTATAAGAATATATGTAGATGCACAATACAATTAAAGCACATCAAAAAGCCAATTTATCAATTTTAACTTAAGATGCATTAGAGGTATAGTTGATAAATGAACTTACCAATTATTGTGCTACAAGTCAATCGTCTTGGCTCCCTTTAACCTTGTATGACTATGTTTTGTTTATTCCCTAATCACAATCGTAAATGTTTGTCATAAACGATATTAAGTTTTGTGGAATCCTTTTTTATATCCTTTAGTTACTGTTCAGTGCGTTAATTATGCCGCTCTTTTCCCCTCATTTCTAGACTATTAATTTCTGTTTTTGTGCATAATAATAATGTTACTTTTTATTTTAAAAGCACATAAAGCTTATCAAACCAAATAGTTTACTTATTGTGACTTTGACCACACTAAGACTCTGTGTCCGACAGCCTGGGGACTAACTTAAGATTCTACCTGTAGTTAACTATATGCTGCAATCCGTATAATGTGAACGTAAAAATTATTCACTTCATTTTTTGTATTGGTGGTATGAATCTTCTCATTGATGTTTAGGACTGCAATTGATTAGTCTCTTATTGGCGTTAGTGTATCTCGTGCGGATTGCCTCAATATTACCTTAAGACACAAGCGTAATAAGCAAAGATGGATGATGACTAGCAGTGGATTCCAGGACGCTTTTTCCGTCCCATTTGGGATTCGTCGGCTGAATGTGCATGCATTCCAGAGTTGATATTCACTGCGGGACTCGAACCGAGTACCGTTCGATTCAAACACCATTGAGTTATCCATTTAACTATCGAATCCAGATAGTCATTAAGCTTATGCGATGCGGTAAATTTTATAAGAATTATTTGTTTAAACTGACTTATTAAGATGAATTTGGTTTATCTTGTTGATTTGGCATGTACAACATACTAATTCTTCCTTGTTTAATTTGCTCACATTTCAATATTTCAACCCAGTAGTCCACATTCCATCTCATCTGTTAATTACTTTAGTACATGTTTACAAACTGTAAATACATAAAACTATTCTGTTTACCTTTAATATGTTAAATCAATCTGCCCTTTTCTCAAATGGTACTCAGTTTTATTTATTCATCTTTGAATGATTGTTAACTTATAAAGAATTTAACCCCCCCCAAAAAAAAAGACACTAAATTTAATTATCAATAAATTAGTGTTTAATCTTAATTTATTATTATTATTATTATTATTATTATTATTATTATTATTATTATTATTATTATTATTATTATTATTATTAGGAGCTTTATTCAACATTATATTTTTGGTACAATATAGAATTCTCAGCATAAAGTATTTCAACAAGTTTTCTTTTCTTATACCTTGATCTATTGTGACGATAAATTTTGAATGGTGACCGGTTAGATGTTAGGAGTTCGGTAATCCACATTTGATTAATGTTCATTCGGTTCAATGCATATTGCCAGCCACCATGATGTCGCTGATTGTACCTTTTTGTATCACGTATAGCGAAAGGTTGTAAACTTTTCATAAACGCGCCTGAATAGATTGTGCTCACAATAAACATAATGATGTGCTAAAACAACCAACAAAACAGATGACTTGATGAAATATATAGATCGGAGGAACAGGTAGCCCAGATATTCAAGCAGGCCTCCTAATTTTTTTTTTAATGAGAATGTTGTTTCTCTCAATCTGGTATATTCATAATCACTTTCACTTTTTACAATAGAATCTAGTTGGTTTATATTACACAATTCTTATACTTGTATTAAGGATACTCTTAAATGCTCTTGTTGTCATGAGAAGCAATAATTTAATCTCTAAAATATAATTCAATTAAATTTGTTTGCTTACCTATATAAATAATCATTATTATTATTACTACTTCATTTAGATGCTTTAAAGTAGGTAAGTTTAAATGCTTAGAATATTCTATTATTATTCAATATGCTTTAGTGTTGAATAAGTGTCATCTAAGATAATTAATCATATTCAGAGCATTGATTTTCATATTACTTACTTACTTACGCCTGTTACTCCTCATGAAGGAGCATAGGCCGCTCACCAGCATTCTCCATCCAACTCTGTCCTGGGCGATCCTTTCTAGCTCCGTCCAGTCGTAATTCATCGTTTTCATATCTGCTTCTATTATCCGACGCAATGTGTTCTTTGGCCTTCCTCTTTTTCGCTTCCCTTCAGGATTCCAATTTAGCGCTTGCCTCGTGATGTTACAAGTGAAATATTCACTAAATTATAAATTCGTATATATTATGATTCTATTCCAAGAAAACTATTCATAAATCTATAATATCGAATAAAAATTATATTCATTGTACTACTATGAAATGATTTTCATAAAATCCACTATATTAAGCTTTTATATTTTAAACAATATGAATTTGTATCAGTTGAACTTAGATAAATCGGATAAAGCATAAATCATTTGATCAAAACTATTAATTAATGATATTTATCAGTATGAAGTTATGAAGACTATTAAATTTTACTGAGATGACAATTCAAATTTAAGTTGAACATTGATTCAAAACTTTGAAGCATTGAATAGCTGTTTCGTCCTAGTACAGGACTTCTTAGCAGTGCGCATTCACGACCTCAAACGTAAAACTTGAAGCCGGGATCTTTGATTTCGCACTCAGACGCTTAACCTGTAGACAACTGATCCATGGTACAATGGTATACAAGTCTAATTTAGAAATGAACATTATGGGACCCCAACTAATTGGTCTAGAGTCTAAGCGTTTGGACGCTAAAACTAAGGTCCCGGACTTGATCCATGAATGCGAGGTCACGGAAGCATACTGCTATGAAGTACCACTCTAGAACGAAATGGTTGTCTAGTGCTCCCCAGTTTTCAATGATCGGCTTACTTAGATTTGTTTGTAACCTCAAAAAAACAATGATATTTTAATAACCAGCTGAAATCAGGTTTTACTCATTTCACATTGCGCATCACTATAGCTTTTGCCTGCATAGATTTTTACAGCTCTATTGTGTGGTGCAAGCTTTTATCACAATACAAATATTTGTTGGGACGGTATATTCCCAAAATTCATATTTGTAATTTTATCATATCGATTGACTCATCGATTAAATATTTGGAAGGAAGTCACATGATGAACTTATCGACTAAATATTCTAATGCCTGTCGAGTGATGAACTGAATGAGTCATGTTTAAAAATAACATTTAATATGACAATATCGATTTTATATATTTATATATATATACGTTTAATTTGTGTCTGTTGTTCACTACTGTTGACTACTGTTCGCTGCTGCTGCTGCTGCTTGCTTGCTTGCTCGCTCGTTTTCTGGTTGTATGCAGAATATATTTCCCATACCAAGCCTGGACTTCTCCTTCTAGTTAGCGGGGCTGGGACGCGTCAATAGTTAGATTACTGGTCTTTGGTCACTGAGTATAGTTCTCGTTCGCAGTCTAAGTGAACCCGTGAAGCTTCAAACCTAACAATTTGGCGACGGTGATTACGGAAATATGGATCCATCTAAACTTGAATTATTACTCGAGCAGCAGATGAAACTTATTCAAATGTTAGCAGATGCAAAGCTTACATCTAATTCTCAACCAAGCAGTTCTAATCCTATTACTACTGCACCGTCAGTTGATGGTATTGCTAACAGTATCTCCGAGTTTCATTACGATCCAGAATCCAATGTCACGTTTGATATGTGGTTTCGACGTTACGAAGACTTATTCAAATTTGACTTTGCCAACCAGGATGATGCTTGGAAGGTCCGCTTGCTGCTTCGAAAGTTGGTTCCTAGTGAACTAGACAAGTATTGCAATCTAATTCTGCCTTTAAACCCACGCGATCGTTCATTCTCCGACACTGTCCAGTCATTGAGCCAACAATTCGGAGACAACTCCTCACTATTCAATGCGCGCTATCGATGTTTGAAGCTCACTATGAACGAAGATGACGATTTTCTCACACATGTGGGTATTGTCAACCGAGAATGTGAACGCTTCCGGTTGAAGTCGCTTACTGAAGATCAATTTAAAGCACTCATTCTCATCTGCAGCCTTCAATCGCAGAAGTTCAGTGACATTAGAACACGTTTGCTAAGTCGATTGGACCAAGACCCAAAACTAACTCTTAATGATATTGCAAATGAATATCAACGTCTAATCAATCTACAGCGTGATACTACAATGGTCCAGCGTGGTGGTTCAAATCGTACCGAAGTTCATGTAGTCCAACAACCACTCAACTCGCATAAATCTGCCCCAGCTACATCTAGTTCAGGTCGACAGACAAAAACAAATCCTCCTGCTCCATGCTGGCACTGCGGTGCATGGCATTTTGTTCGATACTGTCCATATAAGCAACATCGGTGCAGGAAATGTAATGTGGTGGGTCATAAAGATGGTTTTTGTCGAAAAAAGAAGCCGAGCAACTCCAGAGGTACCAGAAAACCTACGCCTAGATCCAACACGAATTCGTTGAGTCTAATAGCAAGCTGTGAGAACTCAACCCCAGTTGAGAGGAAATTTATTACCCTTAATATTAATGGGCACCCTCTTAGATTGCAAATAGACACTGCATCTGATGTAACGATTCTCTCACGAAAATCTTGGATCAGAATGGGAAGACCACGCCTGGTGCCGACAACACAAAAACCGCGAACCGCATGTGGTAATTATCTACGTTTGTTGGGACAACTAGATTGTAAAGTGTCTTTTCATGATTCGACGTTTACCGGGTTATGTTACATTACACCAGCTGATCTTAATCTACTTGGGTTAGACTGGTATGACCGGCTACATTTAGCTGACGTTCCGTTAAGCACCGTATGCCATCTGGTTGAACAACCTCATGAACCTGAATCATATTCGAAAGAACCAATGACGGAGTTTTCGACCAGCGAACATCATACGGCCGGCGAAGATGCAGTTATTGCCTCCCCATTGACAGAGGACCGCGCACAGTGTCAGCAAGCAGCCAAGTGTAACGCAAAATTACTGCCGGTCCCATGGCCACAGCCTAAGTATCCTTGGTCCAGGATACATGTCGATTTCGCAGGCCCAATTAATGGAATTACCTATCTAGTCGTTGTTGACGCCTTTTCGAAATGGCCAGAAATCGTTCCCGTCATGCCACCAACGACAACTCAAACGATACAACTTTTGACAGAGATGTTCTCTCGCAACGGGTTACCGGATATAATCGTTTCCGATAATGGTTCGCAATTCACCTCAAGTCAATTTCAAGAATTTTGCAAACGCCTATCGATCAAGCATTTCCGCTCTCCACCTTATCACCCACAGTCAAATGGACAAGCAGAAAGATTTGTAGATACATTCAAGAGAGCTCTAATGAAGTCGAAAGGGGAGGGGACGACAGTAGAAACACTGCAGAATTTCTTGTTTGTTTACCGAACAACACCTAATGATATGCTACCACAGCAGAGGTCCCCGGCAGAGATCCTGATGGGAAGGAAATTGAGGACGATCCACAGTCTCATGTGCCCAAGAACCACACCACCACCATCCCATACCAAATCTCAGAAGCTTCCAGCGTACGAGGTTGGATGCCCTGTGTTCGCTCGAGACTACAGAGCAAATCATGGTCCTTGGATCGAAGCACGTGTGGTTGGAAGACTAGGTCAAGTTATGTACGAGGTAAAGGTGGGAAGAGACACGTGGACTAGACACCGAAACCAACTACGTAAGCGGATTGCCCCAGACCACCCATCAAATGGAGTAAATCTTCCCCTCGACATCTTGCTTGATACTTTCAACTTACCTGCAGCCCCATCACAAGAAGCTCGACAGCAAGCTGATCCCCGTCCCAGAAGGTGGCCTCTCCGTCAGCGGCGAACTACAGTCAAAATGCAAGTCGACCCCAGAAAAGCACGCTATTAAAAAGGGGAGGAGTGTTGGGACGGTATATTCCCAAAATTCATATTTGTAATTTTATCATATCGATTGACTCATCGATTAAATATTTGGAAGGAAGTCACATGATGAACTTATCGACTAAATATTCTAATGCCTGTCGAGTGATGAACTGAATGAGTCATGTTTAAAAATAACATTTAATATGACAATATCGATTTTATATATTTATATATATATACGTTTAATTTGTGTCTGTTGTTCACTACTGTTGACTACTGTTCGCTGCTGCTGCTGCTGCTTGCTTGCTTGCTCGCTCGTTTTCTGGTTGTATGCAGAATATATTTCCCATACCAAGCCTGGACTTCTCCTTCTAGTTAGCGGGGCTGGGACGCGTCAATAGTTAGATTACTGGTCTTTGGTCACTGAGTATAGTTCTCGTTCGCAGTCTAAGTGAACCCGTGAAGCTTCAAACCTAACAATTTGGCGACGGTGATTACGGAAATATGGATCCATCTAAACTTGAATTATTACTCGAGCAGCAGATGAAACTTATTCAAATGTTAGCAGATGCAAAGCTTACATCTAATTCTCAACCAAGCAGTTCTAATCCTATTACTACTGCACCGTCAGTTGATGGTATTGCTAACAGTATCTCCGAGTTTCATTACGATCCAGAATCCAATGTCACGTTTGATATGTGGTTTCGACGTTACGAAGACTTATTCAAATTTGACTTTGCCAACCAGGATGATGCTTGGAAGGTCCGCTTGCTGCTTCGAAAGTTGGTTCCTAGTGAACTAGACAAGTATTGCAATCTAATTCTGCCTTTAAACCCACGCGATCGTTCATTCTCCGACACTGTCCAGTCATTGAGCCAACAATTCGGAGACAACTCCTCACTATTCAATGCGCGCTATCGATGTTTGAAGCTCACTATGAACGAAGATGACGATTTTCTCACACATGTGGGTATTGTCAACCGAGAATGTGAACGCTTCCGGTTGAAGTCGCTTACTGAAGATCAATTTAAAGCACTCATTCTCATCTGCAGCCTTCAATCGCAGAAGTTCAGTGACATTAGAACACGTTTGCTAAGTCGATTGGACCAAGACCCAAAACTAACTCTTAATGATATTGCAAATGAATATCAACGTCTAATCAATCTACAGCGTGATACTACAATGGTCCAGCGTGGTGGTTCAAATCGTACCGAAGTTCATGTAGTCCAACAACCACTCAACTCGCATAAATCTGCCCCAGCTACATCTAGTTCAGGTCGACAGACAAAAACAAATCCTCCTGCTCCATGCTGGCACTGCGGTGCATGGCATTTTGTTCGATACTGTCCATATAAGCAACATCGGTGCAGGAAATGTAATGTGGTGGGTCATAAAGATGGTTTTTGTCGAAAAAAGAAGCCGAGCAACTCCAGAGGTACCAGAAAACCTACGCCTAGATCCAACACGAATTCGTTGAGTCTAATAGCAAGCTGTGAGAACTCAACCCCAGTTGAGAGGAAATTTATTACCCTTAATATTAATGGGCACCCTCTTAGATTGCAAATAGACACTGCATCTGATGTAACGATTCTCTCACGAAAATCTTGGATCAGAATGGGAAGACCACGCCTGGTGCCGACAACACAAAAACCGCGAACCGCATGTGGTAATTATCTACGTTTGTTGGGACAACTAGATTGTAAAGTGTCTTTTCATGATTCGACGTTTACCGGGTTATGTTACATTACACCAGCTGATCTTAATCTACTTGGGTTAGACTGGTATGACCGGCTACATTTAGCTGACGTTCCGTTAAGCACCGTATGCCATCTGGTTGAACAACCTCATGAACCTGAATCATATTTGAAAGAACCAATGACGGAGTTTTCGACCAGCGAACATCATACGGCCGGCGAAGATGCAGTTATTGCCTCCCCATTGACAGAGGACCGCGCACAGTGTCAGCAAGCAGCCAAGTGTAACGCAAAATTACTGCCGGTCCCATGGCCACAGCCTAAGTATCCTTGGTCCAGGATACATGTCGATTTCGCAGGCCCAATTAATGGAATTACCTATCTAGTCGTTGTTGACGCCTTTTCGAAATGGCCAGAAATCGTTCCCGTCATGCCACCAACGACAACTCAAACGATACAACTTTTGACAGAGATGTTCTCTCGCAACGGGTTACCGGATATAATCGTTTCCGATAATGGTTCGCAATTCACCTCAAGTCAATTTCAAGAATTTTGCAAACGCCTATCGATCAAGCATTTCCGCTCTCCACCTTATCACCCACAGTCAAATGGACAAGCAGAAAGATTTGTAGATACATTCAAGAGAGCTCTAATGAAGTCGAAAGGGGAGGGGACGACAGTAGAAACACTGCAGAATTTCTTGTTTGTTTACCGAACAACACCTAATGATATGCTACCACAGCAGAGGTCCCCGGCAGAGATCCTGATGGGAAGGAAATTGAGGACGATCCACAGTCTCATGTGCCCAAGAACCACACCACCACCATCCCATACCAAATCTCAGAAGCTTCCAGCGTACGAGGTTGGATGCCCTGTGTTCGCTCGAGACTACAGAGCAAATCATGGTCCTTGGATCGAAGCACGTGTGGTTGGAAGACTAGGTCAAGTTATGTACGAGGTAAAGGTGGGAAGAGACACGTGGACTAGACACCGAAACCAACTACGTAAGCGGATTGCCCCAGACCACCCATCAAATGGAGTAAATCTTCCCCTCGACATCTTGCTTGATACTTTCAACTTACCTGCAGCCCCATCACAAGAAGCTCGACAGCAAGCTGATCCCCGTCCCAGAAGGTGGCCTCTCCGTCAGCGGCGAACTACAGTCAAAATGCAAGTCGACCCCAGAAAAGCACGCTATTAAAAAGGGGAGGAGTGTTGGGACGGTATATTCCCAAAATTCATATTTGTAATTTTATCATATCGATTGACTCATCGATTAAATATTTGGAAGGAAGTCACATGATGAACTTATCGACTAAATATTCTAATGCCTGTCGAGTGATGAACTGAATGAGTCATGTTTAAAAATAACATTTAATATGACAATATCGATTTTATATATTTATATATATATACGTTTAATTTGTGTCTGTTGTTCACTACTGTTGACTACTGTTCGCTGCTGCTGCTGCTGCTTGCTTGCTTGCTCGCTCGTTTTCTGGTTGTATGCAGAATATATTTCCCATACCAAGCCTGGACTTCTCCTTCTAGTTAGCGGGGCTGGGACGCGTCAATAGTTAGATTACTGGTCTTTGGTCACTGAGTATAGTTCTCGTTCGCAGTCTAAGTGAACCCGTGAAGCTTCAAACCTAACAATATTGTAACTGTTTGCATAAATATAGAAAATCACTTGCATCATTAAAATGATATTTAATAAGTTTTCTTCTGTGTGTGTGGAAATTTCTATTGACTTTTGTAGGCACAAATCTCTACTATCATTTTGTCCCCGTATCTTGTTGCTTAACTAAAATTGATGGTTTGACTGGATTCCCTGTACAAATTTATCGTAATAAGAAACGTTGTCAAAATTGGCAATACGGTCCACCAACATTCCAAGATGGTCCACATAATGATGCATTATATTATCGAGTAAGTTGACTAAAGTTCTTTATAGGCTATTTCAATGTTTTATTTCGTGATACAGTCGATTATACGAATGAATTACGTATTATCTAATTACCAGTATTACAGTGAAATCGTTTAAATAGATTTGATTGGTTAGAAACATTTTACATTTCATCGTGAACTGATTTTGTTTTCTTTTCAGTAAATTTCATTAAAATCAAGGTGCATATGGTACTACATGCGGGATTAGAACCCAGGATTTTAACCGCGCACGAGTGCTTAACCTCTAGACCACTGATCCTGTATTCAACGGTGTTAATGTGTAACATCAGTCAATCCATGAAATCGTGCGACCATTTTCCGTCGTGTTCGGTGAGTAACTACCTAACACCCGACATGGTTGAACTCTACTGACCACAGCTTCTCACTAGAACTCCGAAATTACCTCTCGAAGCTACTCACTAGTAAGCACATGATGATTATCAGTATAGGGTTGTAGAGATTGTTGTTAAACATTTGTTCCGTTTGTTCACTTTGACTATGTTGTTTACATTACGTTCTTAATCCTGTAGAGCCGATTTGGAAAGAACTGATTGATAACTCGATGAATGTATTTATCTATTAACAAACATGCCAATAATGAGGATATTATGTTTTAAAATATTAGAAAATTTGAAAACTCTAATAAGACAAGAAATTTGTTAATCTACACAAATAAGCTTACTATCTATAAGACCATTATTGTAAATGTTAAGTGAAATCAGAAGAGATATGTACCACAAAACCGTGATAGGCACAAAAAATCTATTATTCTAGCTAGTTGTCTGTAATTTCGTAACTAGTATTCAATCATAGGTTTCTTTAAACCATTACTCGTGTATATTGGGAACACTAAGTAATGTCTGGGCTAATAATAGTACTCTAAGTAGAGCTGGAAAGTTGATTGTTGAGGTATTAAAGTGTTACTAAATAAGGTGGTTGGGACATGTGTTACGTATGCCCAACCACTATCTACCTCGAATGGCGACGTCGCCTAGTATAGGAGTAAGCTTGGAGAAACCTAGTGGCAGCCAAGTCAAAACATGACATCAATCCATGAAGTCAATGTCAATTGGATAACCAAATTAACAGATGTAGACTACCTGGTTGTGGTCCGCGTAATTATCGCAACCAGTGGTTAGAGACTTTAAATGATACGGCTTAAAATCTTTTGCAATGCTACAGATGTATCTTTCGTCTTTCCAAAGATTCTAAGCTTCTAAATTCCTCGCAACTTTCATTACACTGATTTATATACTTTTTTCTATTGCCACTCAAAGTGTTACTACCCTAACTTCTCTGGGATCTACCCTGACAGTTTCACCTCCCTCTGTGGATGTATGGCAACTTAAGCCGATATACACACGTGCAAGGTTATACGATGCGACTGACTTCAAATCATTCGTGCAGCTTGCACCAATAATATGGTTTCATGAGTAGCCTACAATTCCCCACAATCCTTATTATAGGATATCACCGATCAATCGATATTTCCTTGCATTTTAACTGCTGAAATATAGTTCTTCAAATACAAAAATCCTAAGCCATAACAATATGTTCTTTTTTTAAGGGCTGTTATAACCTACTTGTCGACTATATTAATGCATACACTGAATATATACTCGGAATGGGATTGACAGCTGTTATATTATTGGTAAGTGTTTCATAGAATCTGATGTATAAATCAATGAGTTACTTATCAACTCCATTTATCTGCACGAACGTGTAATAAAAACTTAATTCAGTCAAAACTTGAATTGATAATTTATTGGTTTACCTGTTCGGAACATCAATAAATGAGTAAGACTACTTGCATCAGAGACTCAGTTCGGTAATGAAGCGTGATAAGTGGTTAGAAAACATATATAAAGCTATTTATAATATTGACTACATTTACTGAGCTAATATACTTCCTATGGCAAAAATTAAATCAAAATGACAATTTTTTCGAGCCTGAAATATAAACAGAACATGTAGAGTTAATATCCTTATCTGACTAAGTGAGACGATGACATGTTTATACAATTTTTTTAACAAAACGTTATATATCCTCTGACAACATTCACAAATTTAACAAGACTACCAGGTCGCAGATAGAAATCCCACACTCCCTATTTGGGTTAAGCTGTTGGGCAAGTGCAACTAGCCCTCAAACAAAAAACATTGACCAAAGTCGAGCACACATTTCACCCAATTAGTAAATAACTTTAAACTTGAAGTTTACACTTACACTTAAACTACAGTGATACTGAAGTATGTATGTGGAGAACATATTCGCAAATAGAGACTAAAGACGGTGAAAACGAAACCTTTGTTAATTCAAACAATAAATCGGTATGTTAGGAAAAGTCTTAACTACTCAAATCCATTTAACTAATTATAGTATGTCATCGACTGGGGAACTCAAAAGTCCAACAATATGTTAGTATATAACGTGGCTGGATAATATTTTAGTAATTAGATTCAAATATTACAAATTATTTTTGAAAATGTTCAAAGTAGAGAGAGATTGAGAGTTGTCGTCTCCGTCCAACAAACTAACTAATAAATGTCGGTATTCCAACGTCGTAATCAAAAATATATGCTAACGTGGCTTATTTACCAAGTAGTAGACTTGTATACCTTGAACCAATGTTTATTTAAAGGTTAATCATACTACTAAGTGAGTAAAACTGAAATAGGTAAGAAGTGAGGTTCGGTCCCGTAACTTCACTAATTGAAAGTTACCAACTTTAACCGTTTGAGCCATTCCTTTATAAGAAACCACTTTCCTTCATATCATTTATTCATTTTCTCATAGATAACCGTATTTCTGTTGCTGCTACGTGCAGAACTTAGGAATAATCCAACTGATCTACAAATATACGACACAAACTTATTAAAAAACAATCAGAATAATCATTATTACGTTGATAATAAGTAACCTGCACATATTTCAAAGAATGCCGAATTTTAATGACCCGTCACCAGTTCAATCATTTGATCCTTCATTAAAGTCTCTTAATTTAATTACTACTCGAAAACTCTACACGTCGACTCAATTATCTATGTCAACAGCAACTACCAGGAGTTGGTCGCTAATCCTTTCACATAAAATAAATGTGACTAGCACATACCACATGGCTGTCAAGCTTTGTTAAAAATAATTCCTTTTGCATTTCACACTCCCATACATGACAAATGAATATATACTTTTGTAACCTTTGCTGTATATACTTTCTAACCTGTATAGACTTTTCTCTAACATGTTTACAATTTTCTTGTACGACTTTGGCAATACATTATGAGACGTAACTGTCTCGGAATAAAAACCAACTGATTACAATACATACAGACTTATCAATAATTTAGTTTACATTTTATGCTAAAGTTCTTTTATTAACTTATAAACTTCAATATTTGTTGTAACAAAGCTAGACAATTTACTAGCTGCTTATCTATTCATTGACGATTCAATAACTCGGGTTGCAGAATTTTAACTGTACTATGATTTCGAAAGTAAAACGCGAACCAAGAGTGAGATTGTACCGAAAAAATGCAGAGCTGTATGCTTTCAACGAAAGTTGAGTATTTCAAGAAAAATCACTAGGAGTCAAACAGTGAGGTTGTGCAACCAATGAACTCACTACCTTGAATCTACCACACCTCGTGATAAATCTGCACACCCACTGAAGTCTCACCCAACTAGTATATATTCAGTATAATTTTATTTGGTATCCGAATTTAATATTATTAGTCGCCACTGTAAAACACTACACATTTGAGAGTATCAGTCAATGAACACCCACTTCCCTGACGAGTACCTTTTTACTCAGAACCGAAGTATGAACTGATAAAAGCACTTCTCATAACTTTATTCTGAAAACATTTGTATTTTGCACGTGTTGTATGACGGGTGTATTCGAAGCACCACTCGTAAGAGGTGGGATGACAGCAATTAATGCTGAGGTCAGGCGATTGATAACACTGAATTATAATCGAATGAAGCAATTAGATGATGTACCACTCGTATTAGAACATGATCTCAGGAAACCCGCGCTTGTTAACACGAGTGAATTGAAAAAAAAGGAAACTACCCACCAGTTAACACATTTATTGGTTGTAGTCCATGAGAAAAAAGTAGGCAATTTGAATACGTTTGTCTTGGAATCAAGCTATCGAATAACTGTGTTTTCTATATTTCGAAAGTGCCTGTTTTGAAGTCAAAGCTAGTAGTATATATATAGCCGTTGATACATCACAATTACTATTTGATCTTCCTCAACCCTTGGTTCCAATATTATCTCACGCTAGTTATCCCTCTATTTCATCCCGTCTTTTTAAAACATTTCTTCTAGTTCTAGTCGTTGAACCTACTACGAATACTTTCCGACCCATCTTACTATTACTTCACCTTCCTGATGTGGTATATCCTTTACAGACCCACAAGTCCGCCGATTATTACTAACAGAAATAAGCTTGAAAGTCGGTTTATGATTACTCAGCCTACTAATATTTGAAAAATGAGATTGAGAACATTCAATACTACGGTGTGAGAGCAAGTGACACTACTGAACATCCCTATACATCACATTCTTATTCACGCCAACAAGAGCTTCTTGCAATTTCGGACTAACCACACCCTTAAGTTCCACTGGCTTCAATGATCAAGTTCATCCTGAACTACATGCTTACAAATTAACATTATATTAGAACCTTTTACCTAGTTGGATCTGCAAGACGGTCAAGAAACAACTAGACACGTTACTTTTTTTAAGTTTCGTGTTGCTCCTTTGTTTTTGTGGATTTCTGAAAAACGAGTTTTGCTTTTTTGTACTGGCCAGTTTTTACACAGATATCCAAAGACTGACTCAAAATATGCATCTACGTATTGTTCGCTACTTGATTCAATATCAATATTACTGAACACCACACTACAAAACCCAAATGAGTTAACAAATAAACCGTACAAAATAATTAACCACCTGCTGCAATATTTGTTGTTTGCATATATGAATAAATATATATGACACTACTGGAAAAACACTAAAATCATGTAGCACTCTAGGCTAAGAAGATATTGATATATTCATTATTTTTACTCAGTGATACCCTACACGTAGCTAGTCCGCTCTTGAACCTAGCTCGGAACCAACGTGCGCAAACCTGATTGGAGAAAATCGTAGTGAGTTCTTTTCATTTTCTATCGGTAAAATACAACCATCAAAAAATGCACATTTTATCAGAAATAATCCGGTGACACTCGACCATGTTATATTTGGGTCGATGCATTTTGCAGCAAGCCTGAGTTTACCTGCACCTAGCTTCGCCAACACATCTATAGTCATAGATATAGAATGACTTTCTAGAAATAATGAACAAAGATGAATTCGATGTATGGGATACATAATGGACTACCACGTGAAATTTGAAATGCAAAATAAAATAACCCGTTTACAAAAACGCATTTACCCTCGATATCCGTAAAATACTTTACTGAGAATATTCACACGCATGAATACATAGGAAGTGACGATAGCTGACTGTGTTAGATAATCATAACATGATAAGCAGTGCAATATTTATTTAAACACACACTTGTAAAAGGAGGCATCAAATAGATATGCGCCACATAAATCGATTTATGTGAGGGCTGGGATACAGCCCGTGTGTAGATCGAAGCAATGACACGGTTGGATCCAGCTGCAGTACGGACCGAGCACCTGACGCTCATAACCTTAGGCTTTAAAATTAAAACATAAGCATAGTCATCGTAGCAATGCGCATGAGGAACGGTATGTCCTTCACACAAACAGGGAGACTAATTCACATTAGTGGGAACCAGAAACAATTAAAATTATAGATTGTCGAGTATACCCATACTTACGAGCAGTAGGATGTCCAAATCCCATTTTACAATGGCTAAATATTGAACTACAAATTACTGGGTATAATCAGGCAGATCTGGATAAATGCTCGTTAATTACACAAACACAACGCTGGAAATCGATCACTTATTTTGACACTACTACACGTGCTGAGCATGAGCGAGAAAACTACAGTGCACACAGAACACGAAATAGTTTGAGTAAATGTCTTCTTGCAGCGTCCGAAGATGCTCAAAGAAATTTCAGACGGATAAATTTCACAATAACAGAAAAACTAATTAAGACGACAAGTAAATTTCGGTTATGTAGCACTCAAGTCAACTGATCAATCCTTGAGAATGCATGATATCCGTGCTTTTTAATAGGACCTGAAATCATGTGATTTAAGTTTTGGATAGACGTCGCAGCAACTTAAACGGTAGGTGTCAAAAATTGTAACTAAAGAGCTTGTGACAAACCTACTGTTTTTAAAAGATATCGACCTGAACTTGACTATTTACAGTACACATAAACGTGGAGTAGCATTGAAAGAAATCGACCCAGATCACTCATAAATTCAAAATACAAGTATCTGAACCGTACTTCATTTATTTTTAAGTGCACTAATCAAACAGCCCAAAGCCCATATCTTCTTCTGATTCGGACTCTTCTTTGACCTCAACCTTTGCTGGCTTGACATCTTGAGGGGCTTCGGCTTTACTTGGTGCTGCCGCAGCAGGTGCAGAAGAGACAACAGCACCGGATGATGGTATGGAGGACAACTTCGTAGATCCTTCAGCAATTAGTTGTGGTATATCTTTGCCAGACAACGAAGACAACAGCTACAAAGTTAACTTATAACTGCTAACTTACTTTCTCGAGTCTCTCAGAATCATGCTCAATGCCAACAGAATTTAGGACAGTTTTGATATCATTTTCAGTAGGTTTCTCCTTACCACCTAACTGACAGAGAAGGAACGCAGCCAAGTAACGCATCACGCCTGAAATTCACTAAATCCGCGAGTAACTGTTAACCGGGAAGTAACAAAACAAAGGGTTCAATAATTTGTGAATCCTTATTGCGATACTCATACTGTTAATTCTCTTCATTGGAGTACTAGGTCTGCGTTATAGGCAAGAATACACTGCTTAAAATTGAAACTGCTGAACAGTGAAAGAAAACTGCAAGTTCCTTAATATATTTGTCAAGGATGTTAGGGACGAATTCCATTTATGGTGTATTTTCGAACGAGAAGTTTATTCCTAACGTGGTTTGCATTTATCAAACTTTTGCTGTGTTCTTACGCAACAAAAGTACCATTTCTGGTCGAAAGAATCTATCCTGAGCTATACGTTCGGTAGATTACTTTTTTTAGTGTATTTTTACGGTCTTCGGCTTTTGCTAGCATCTATAATACAGTTTACTTCAATGTAGTCATGAAAAATTCATGCAAATGATCTGGATGCCGTTTCGTTGTTACATCTGACATGCAGTGCGATAACTGCAAAAGTTGATTTCATGAAGTGTGCACATATCTCACAGAAACTGCTTACAACAGACTCAGCAATTCAGATCATAAGTGGGTATGTGTCATGTGCAACACGGATGCCATAGTCTTGTTGAGTAACATCATTGTCTTATTGACAGGTCTGTGGAATAAGTTATCAGCAAACTTGGAAAAAGACCGTCATAAAACCGGTAGACAAACAAGGACGCGCAATGAAGATGAGAATAGGGATGTCGACAGGTCTACTATCGATGGAGCATGCACTAGCACTAGTGATGACATGCTGAAACTTAGTACCATCATTACGTCAACGGTAATAGACTCCCTCAGCAAGCTTGGGTCTCCTAGCACGGTTTGCTTGAATGTAACAGTGGTTTCCGAAAACTCTGCAGGTGATAGGCCCCACGTCAACAGAGCTAAAAAAGAGTCAAGTGTCACCGTCTAAACTGAACATTCCAAGTATTGTACGGAAATCATTTTGTGACCTTGCCGCACGATCTACTCCCAAGAATGTCCGTCCGTTATCAAAGAGCCTGGGAATTAGAAAAGCGCTTCAACCTCCAAACAACTAGGTGCTGAAGATGAACGGTTCGTGATGACTCTATCATGATCATGAACCTCAAAGACAACCCCGACCTTCCTCTCAGTTTGCAGGACAAAAATGACAGGATGCTCCAGGGAGAATTAAACAAGAAAAGAGTCTTTAACTGTCACACGAATAACTCGAGGAAAGGAAGCTAAGCATCAAAATCACCCGAGGCTACTTCGTGTAACACTTAAGAATGCTACCGACGTAGAGTTTGTCCTGTCAGCTAGTCATTTACTGAAATCCGATGGGAACGTAAGAATACTGCTTGACATACCGTATTCTGAGCGCGATCTCATCCGGAACATCTCTTCAGAGTCTCTCAAGAAGTTTTTCCGTGTAAGAAATATCATTGTGCATGGTGTACCGAAAAACGCTGACCCTAAC